GGGGGGGGGGGGGGGGGCGTCGACCGTGTTGTGTTTGAAAGAGCAGCCGGCGTTGCACAGCGAAGGGTTTAAATATCCATTAACTTGTTCATGTGTGCGTCTGGGCTGGTGTGGTACTGTCTCTTTTTCTTTTTCTCCTTCGGCACTGGTTTGTACGAGGAACTTGGTTTCTGCCGTGTTCCGTAAGTATTAGCCAGCCGTTGAGTAGCTCTTTGTGTTGTTTCGGTTCTGTACAGCAGCCCGGTGCGCGATGACGCCCCGTGTCGCCGGCTTCACCGCTCCACGTATGTCTGCGTTTGCAATTTTGATTCGACGAGCGACATGTATGTGCGTTGCTCATTTTACGGGCTGAAATGGTTGTTTTCGTTTTCCCCTGAAGGGTGAGCAACTCTTGAGGGACCTGCTTGCTTGACGGCAAGCCCAGGTAGCTGTTGACATGGGCTGGCGTAGCACAGGACGAGGACAACGCCCGTAACCCTAGCCAAGCCCCCTGTTAGTCTCGCAAATAATCATGCGATGCCGGGGGTGTCGATGACTTGAGGCGGAAGAACCAAGTGCTAGTTTAGTTTGTAGCTGTCACGCCACGATTGAAGAAATGATAAAAACGAAACTTATTGAGCACACGATGAGGGCTCTCGAAGTGTTTCGGGGTTTGTGAACTCCACCGCTGCTGCTAATGATGCTACTTCTGCGGAGAAACGAGACGTGAATAATTAGTATATAAAGTGGATTGTCATCACAACTCGAAGCCGAGTGTCGTCGGCGTTGCCTGTCTGATGCTTCGTGCATTGCAGACGCGACATTTTTTCTGTACCTCTCGACTTCAAACTTTAAGCCCACGGCAGAGAGGGGGCGGGGAGGCAGGAGCTCGGTCGGGCGGCACATGAGCGCAACGTTAAATCGCCGCCGAACGTGCATGATACCATATGTGATCCATGGACGGGGATGGATTTGACACGTTCAAGAAGCAAAACACAAAAATAGCAAACACGCGATCATACAAATGTCAAATCTTCACGACAACTGCAGAACGTACTGCGAGCACGAGCAGGACAAATCGCTGCGAATGTTGTGTGAGGGCACTAGCAAGCTCTCTTGGTCTTGTTTCTGTTTCGTGCTACTCCCACCTTGGATTGGTGCGAAAACTCGTCGGTCAAAACAGCACCCATGTCAACACGTGCTACGGGTAGCCGGCGTGTCAAGAGAAGTTTCCTCAATACAAGACCAACCGCCAAATGGTGTCTTCGACTGGTGTGCTCCAGTATCATCAGCCGCCTTTTCTGATCAACCATGTTCACACCCCGCCTTCGTATTGGGATTCCCACTTCTTTTGTTCATTGTCAACCTATTAATAAACGTCGCTGATAGACTCGTGGTCAGTGTACTTCGTAATTGTTTTTCTTCTCTCCCGCTCTCCCTCCCGTCTCTCTCTGGGCGGGGCTTTGGGGAAAACGGGAAGCGCACATTACTAGTAAACCAAGCTCCCGGCGTCCACTCGTGAACCCGCGCAGAATTTTCGACCCAGTGTTACTCGTCGTCCCCCAAGCTGCGTCGGAAACCAACACCATATAGCCACCGTTCACGAACAGCAAGTAACTGTGCAGAAACGGCCGGCAAAACAGGGCAGCATGTACGTGCTCTTAGCTTTGGGTGTTGCTGTCACGTCAACATGCACACCAACCGCGCCGTCCGGAAGTGGAAACCGTCAGGGAACTCGCCCGAGACGGCCGTGAGTGCTCACGACCGCGGGCACACAGGTTGTTGAACCAAGGCTCCACCAAGCATCTCACGGTTTTCCCTCGGTGGGTAGTCGTTCCGCAGACGCTAGCGCGGCAATGAGGCGCTCGTACACCTCAACTCCGTCCATGAAGACGTCTTGGGCAATGTACTCGTTGTGATCGTGCAGCAGTATGGGCGTATTTCTCATCGGGGAGAAACCCAGGGCCGGGATGCCCAGCTCTCGTAGGTACCGGCTGTCCGTGCTCGCCGGGAATATCTCTGGTTCTATTTCGACGCCCACGTCTTTCATGGTGTCCTGCATGGCGCGACGATTGGTCCGCACACACCGCGCGAAGAAGAGAAGTGTCGATGATGGCAGCGGAAGAACGAAACACTCGCCGCCAGCGTGGACACAACGGCAACTAATTTCCATTAAACACAAGGGCTTGTCAAAACACGGTGCCTGCTTGATTCACACACACACGCGCGCTCAAAAGTCCTGCACAAGCGCATAATTATTTGGCCTCGACACGGCCATCTACAGCAGCAGCAAATAATTTTCACGCTATTTAGGATAAACGCACTCACCAAGAACACCCCCCACCACGGATTAACCTCCCGGTCCACCGAGGTCAGGTAGTGCTCGTGCAGCGGCGTGGTCCAGTCGGCCAGCTCCCACGTCACGCCTTCCTCCTTGCACCAGCCGGCCAGGCGGGCCTTGAAGTCCTCCGTCGGGGTGTTGGGGTCGATCCTCACGTCGAAGCCGGCCCGAGCCTCGGTGGGGATAACGTTCAGAGCGTACCTCTCGTGCTTGGTCGCCGCCTCCGCCCCGCCGCCGTCGCCGCCTCCGGCCATGGCGACCCCGGCCTTGAGCATGGTGAGGTTGAGCGTCGTGACGTCGCCGAGCTTCTTGGCGCGAGCGTGGCTGCAGCCGCCGCTGTGCCCGAGCGCGTCCTCCTGCTCCTTCCGGAACGCCAGCGCCTTGTCGCAGACGGCCATGAGCTTCTGCACCGCGGTGTCCTTTATGAACCTTTTTAGACGTTGCAAACGTTCAAATGGTGCTAGTGTTGTGGCATGCATCAAGAGACGCACATGTGAAAAAACGGAGCTCTGTATTATCGCTTCGCTGCATACGCTAGACCTGACCATTTGCTCTCCGTCCGACCCATAAATGATCAGCAGATCGAACGAAGTGCCGAGAATCATACAACAAAGGGTGCTCGACGTTGGTCTAACGTGAGGATTTCAGGTTGGGCCTGGACTACAGCTTGCCGTTTCTCACGAGAGAGCTGACGCTGTATCCCTGCGCAACCAAGGCACGGTTCAGCTCTCGCGGTATTGCTCCCTGGCCGCCACCAGCTACACGCACCGCGCCGCGCATTAGCAAAAACTTGACAGCAGTGACAGGAGCAGCACCGAGGGAAGCCGGACCCGGGCTGGTGCGGTTCGGCCAAGCGGGGACGACTCACCGGCTGCCGTGGCCTGTCGGCCCCTCCGCCTTTACGAGCAGCCACCAGGGCGTCCTTTCCCCGTAGAACACGGTGAAGGCGTTCCTGGGGTTGGCCAGCCCTTCGTCGAGCGCGATCCCCACGGGCCCGAGGGCCTTCCACTCCTCGGAGGCCAGCAGGAGGCTGATGCCGTCCGCGCCCCCGATCTCCTCATCGGGCACGAAGCTCAGGTGCACCGTCCTGATCGGTTGGAAACCGGAGCGGCGCAGCCGGGCGATCGCCACGAGGTACTGCACGCACACGCACTTCATGTCTTGCGTGCCGCGGCCGTAAATACGACCGCAGGCCTCGTCCTTCACCGCCGCGAAGGGGTCCGTGTCCCAGTGCTCGGGCATCGCAGGCACGACGTCGTAGTGGGAGTTGAGCAGCACGCAGGGCAGGTCTGGCTCCGAGCCCGGCCACTCCATCAGCACCACCGGCTTCCCCGCCGAGTACTCGACGGTCTTGATGGACGTCAACCCGGCTTGGTCGCGAGCGTAGTCCGAGACCCAATTCGCCGCCTCCGCGTAGGCTCCTTGCGGGCCCTCTGCGCTGACCGAGCGAATGCGGAGGAACTCCCGAAACGCTTCCTTCAGAAGGGTGGCGGGAGGAGCCAAGCAATATAGATGTATCAGGAACGAGATGCCGTGTAACATGGCGGACTGACCAACGCGTAGCGTATGACGAAACGACAGAAACGCGAGGCGTCTTGTTCGTGCCCATGAGACGTAAACCCTCGCGCGGGCCGATGAGGGTTTGAGCATATACTTCCTCCGCAAGGGCAACCACCCAGCTGTGCAGGCTACGCTACCTTTGGTGTGCATGCACGGACCAAAATCGAACCTTGGCTATTCTCCAGACTTCTCTTCCGCAAGAAATACGTAGACATGCTGGCTGCAATTCCCCGGCAGGTGGTTCCGCGGTGAATGGCCGACATGTTCAACTTGAGCTCGGGATCCTCACATGCTTACTGCCGTATGCCGAGGAGTCCTTGTTTTCTATCGCTGCCGCTCGTGGAACTCAAGCGAGAGGGATGTGCTACTGCTGTAGTCGCTGCTACAAACCAACCCGTGTAGTATGTAGGAACCGTGCTCGAGCACGTGGCGGGTGGGTCACTGCTGTACCACAAGTTACGGGCATCGTACTGTTGTAATACTGTTTCATATGTTATGTATGTTTAACTACGGTGCCCCTTTGCGCATCGCAAAGTGTGGGGAGGGGTCAGCACACCGACATCTCACAGCACAACAAGCGGTTGCAACCGGTTGCATGCGTTGGCCCTCTCAAGCAGCGGCATTCCACTGCATTCTGTACAAATACAGACAGAGGCGACCACGGCTGGCTGTTGGTTGTTGATGCACTTGACCCGAGACAACCCATAGTATTTGCTACGCTGCTTATATGGAAGCTAGCGATCCGTGTCATAGAATGAGACGCGCCCAATAACTTACCACAACATGAGTAGCGCTTGCCAAGTCCTCAGCCATAGCGCGGTGTCAATATGTCGATGCGTCGATACTCCTTGACCTCCGATATGGGTGTGGGGCGCCCGCGGCGGAACAACTACCGGTAGGGAGTACCACACGGACGGATTTTTTTTTTTTGCTTAATATGACACATCGAGTCCATCTCTATGATAGGAGACGACAATCATAGCGTCAGAGGAAACTACCTGTGTGTCTACGATTTCCCAGACAGCATATAGGGACATCTCCCCTACGGATAACAGGCTCAAAAAATCAGTTTGGTAACTGTCTTGTGTGTCTCATATGTGTCATGTTGGGAAGGTGCAGACGGATGATGTTGGGTACTGTTAGTTAGTCGGGCGTTTGGTGTGTCGCACCTTGTTAGTTGTAGGACATGCAATCTCCATCAGTTTACAAACGTATTTTCGGTTTGGTATGCATATGTGCGGAGTATGTGCGGCTGATGTGCGGGCACACGAGCATGGTCTCACCGTATAAAAAAAAAAAATGACACAATGAGTCCATCTCTATCTAATATAAGGAAGGAGTCCAAGACAGATTAGCAATGAATCCATAGCGTAAGTGAAGGCTAACTGTGTTTCCATGTTTCCATGATTTCCCGAGCAGCATACGGCGACATCTCCCCCGTGGGTAACAGGGTCAACAAGACAATGTGGTAGCCGTTTTGTGCATCTATCTGCATGTTATCCTGGGAATGTACGCAAGGAATGTGTTGAGTAGAGTAGCGGCGGGTATAAACAACCACCACATTTTTTCAAATCGGGGTATCTCGTCGATACAGTCACGGAGCCCCTAGAACTTTTTGTGAAGTTCGCCAGAGCCTTCGTTTGAGCACTTCAGCGTCGCAATCAGAGCATCCAGCGACGAGATACAGCAGCAACACCACAACCCACTGCCGACGCGGGCCATCTTCGGTCTTTTGCTGGTTTTGCTGATAAGCATGGGCCGCCGCCAGGTGGACCCAGAGCAAGCTCGGAAGGCATGTGAAGCAGTTAGAGGCGGCATGAAGATCCGAGAGGCCTCTTGGCTCTTTGGGCTAGATAGGTGGTCGCCTCGATGGCGCGGTGGCCATGAAAGCAAAAGTTGGTCCCGCGACTGTCCTGGGCGAAGAATAGGAAAATTATCTTGAAGATGCTCTGCTGTACGCTGGTCGTCACTGCTTGGCTGTGGGTCGGCTGCACCTGCCAGAAGCCGTTAGACAACTGCTGTGCAACGACGGTCGCCCGATCCCTTGGGATCCAGAGAAGGGTCCGNGGCGAAGAATAGGAAAATTATCTTGAAGATGCTCTGCTGTACGCTGGTCGTCACTGCTTGGCTGTGGGTCGGCTGCACCTGCCAGAAGCCGTTAGACAACTGCTGTGCAACGACGGTCGCCCGATCCCTTGGGATCCAGAGAAGGGTCCGGGGAAGGACTGGCTAGCTGGCTTCCTCAAGAGGCACCCACGGGTGTCGGAGCGCACGACTCGCATCTACGAGTCAAACAGAATCACCGAGGACAAGGAGCCTCGCATCGCCGAGTTTTACAAGAAGTGGGCAGCTCTCCTCGACGAGCACAAGCCGGAGGCCGACCACGTGCACAACACGGACGAGACAGGTGAGGACTGTTGACTAGTCTATAGTAGTCTAGTGTGGAACGCAGAGCTCGTGTGCAAAGACCGCGAAGATGGCATGTCAATATCTTGCGTAGTTCTGGTGTGCGGCCGAATTTTCAAAGTTACTGGGCGTCCTTCTGGTGTACGTACGTGCTGTTGTGCTCTATCTCACCTGTGCTGTGCGCCCTCACACCTGTACCATGTTGCCGAAGTCGACGCTGCCTGTGGACTAGAGTAGAGTACAGCAGTAGTTCAGACTGCTAACTTCACAAATGTACCATAGAGAAAGGGCTGTGTCGATGGTCTTTTTGGCCGATTGTTCCGCAAGTCTAGCCTGCAGAAAGTGTAGCTTGCGGGTACAACAGGACAGCGTGCATGTGTGTAAATGATGTACAGCAGACGAGTCTAGTCTAGGGCGAGTACCGACCATAAAATAGGCACACCTTGCTGTTGCTCTGCCTGCTGCTAGTCCAGTCCAACTACCGCCGACGAAAGTAGACAAAGTAGGTGGCAGCTTGTTGTTGTTGTTGTTGTCTTCACATTAAACCGTATGTTAGTTGCTAAATGCCAAAATCTAGCAAAAGACTCTCAGCCCGTGGTCACGAAAGTGCTAGAGCCATCTGATGATCTAAAGAACACGCACACATATAACGAGAAAAAGGTATCCAAGAGCCCGAAGAGGTACACCTAAAAATCCCTGCAGCACCGCATGTATGCGTGCCCAAAAACTGAACTGCACGTCCGTCCCACCGTTCGACTACAGTAGCATCACCCCCTCCCTGTCCCACTCTATACCAAAACGG